TTAGGCCCATGCGCGTAGGCAAATTTACTAACTTTGCAATAAAACATACTTAAATTAGGCGGAACTTTATATTTCATAACAAAGGGGTTTACAAGCTATTGAAGCGATACATAAGTAGGGACAGAGGGTGAACAGCAGTTTTATGAAACGTACTTTTTAACTCGAAGATTGCGAAGCAATCGAAGAGTTATTGGAGGGGGACGAATCTGTCATTCACTCAATCACTCACTCACTCACTCACTTTCCTGTAAACTTGAGCCTGCATTACTTGTGTTCAAAACTATTTATTTATTCTCATTGTTCTYTATTAATTTTTTCATTAAGTTACCGTTACCGGGTTCCCTGTTCTATATTTGATTGAATTTATTTATTTTTTGGCAAAGAAAGACATCTAAAGAAATGTCAGCTCCTCTGACAGTCTTGAACTTCAGAACTGTGAATTAAGCCTCGTCTAGACGAGCAATTTTTATGTGACAATTTTTAACAACTGTAGTTACTGGAAAGCTGGCATGCTAGTTTTTATGTAATTGTCACATATTGATAATTTCCCATGTCGACGAGCGTCACATAAATGTGGCAATTATTTCGACGTCACACTGAATCCAAGTCTCAACATTTTGCACACCAACCAAGATGGCGTCACCGATAGTAAGCAGAACGACTGGATTCGACAGAGAGAATGGTATTATTGTTGTTGCAAGAGCTAACACCAGCTAAATTTGTTTTAATAAAACTTTAAAAATACGATATATTTTTTTAAATCTTAACATGTTTCAGCATTACATTATGCCATCCTCATTCTTCTGAAACATGTTAAGATTAAAAAAATATAAAAATAAAAAAATTATTTAAAATATATATTTAAAAAGATATATTAAAATTATTAGAAAATATATCGTATTTTTAAAGTTTTATTATCTCTAGTGCTACTACGAAACTATGGTAATTAAATTTGTTTTGTTTATTGACAYCTCCGCTGTGCAAAATCACAGTTGGCGCGAGTCTTCAACAATAATTTCTGGCTGCCTGTCAACACGAACAGAAAAAAATGTCACATATAGTTGTCACATAAAAATTGCTCGTGTAGACCGGTCTTAGAAATCGAAGGCACTTCCATTCGGCCACGCGTATAATTGTGGTTAGACTTGTCTGTGAAGTGCAGGTGCTCGCTCCTGGTTGTCAAGAATCAAAGTTAAAAATAATTAGTTTTAGTGAAAAAAAAAACTGTATTCATAAATCATTCACATTAAAATTGTATTTGTAAAGTAAATCATAATTTGATTCGTCTTACCGTTCAGTCACAAAGGTTGAAGCAAGCAAAGAAGACGATCCTCCAAATTCGTCGTTTTGAAAATGATTGTACGAAGGTGCTGGCCTGCGCTTATCGAGAACCCAAGTTCATCTTGATATTTCATTTTAGAGGATGTTAAAATACTTATATCCCTCCTTTTACGCACAGAACACAAAAGACTTGGTTGAGGAAAACTAGTTTCGACTTTACTAAACCTTTTCAATTCACAACAGTTGTAGATCGAGGAATTGAAAAGCTCTAGTAAAGACGAAACTAGTTTTCCTCAACCAAATCTTGTGTGTTCTGTGCGTCAAAGGAGGGATAACAGTTGCTTGACATCCTCTAAAATCAAGTTAATATTCTTGCACTCCTTATACATCAACATTCAAAGACTATCTGAATTCAATTTGAAAGTGTTTTTTGNATACTCGTCTCTTCAAAGGAAAAATGAATTATGTGAGTCTAATTTAATATCTCGAGATAAAGTAACAAAGAAATGAATAGAATGGATGAAATCAAGATAACTAAGTCCCTTAGATAGCCGCGATCCATTAGCCTATCGTTTCATCTCATAACCTACTAACAGAGTGGGACCACTACATTTTACTTGGTAAGCCCCSACMTCGCCGTCCAGAAGGGTAGCCTAAACAACRCCCTACATCTGCCTCCGGGCGGGTACTGGTCTAGCTTGGCAAGGGCAATTCCTTCCTAGTTTTGCAAGTTCATATTTAGTCTTTTAAACCCCTTTCGTTTCTAGACTGCCYGCAAGAGTCTCGAAAACCTGTGCAGTCAACCCATACGAATAAACGATTTGATGTGGTGCAACTGGGAAGGAAGCCAAKTCGGACCAAACCCKTCTGTGGAATTAGTATCCAAGGGAATGGCATTCACAGATCCCACTATGCTTGCCTTCCGGGATCCAGAGTCCTATATCGCTGGGAACTTAAGTRCATGCGCGGAACAATGGGCCACAAATCTACAAGGACACCCCCGCGCGGAAAAGCTCGCGTCTTACATTACGGAAGGCGTAGACGTTTCCAAGTGGCAAGTGGTTGGGAGAGTTGGGGCGTCATCATTTTCCTTGCTTGTACCGGCATCTAAGCTATACACTAACGTTGTCTACCAAGCCATAGCTAAAGCAACTCGCAGCAGCACAACTAAGATCCCCATATTTGCCTCGCTTCGCGAAGAGATTTCCCATTGGAAATTCCTTGATCTCCCATGGAGATCTGAGGCACACCGTCTGGTCAAGTTACATTCCGACGCGTCCAACACAGGCTGGGGCGCTGCCCTCCTGCGACACGAATCAGTCCCAACGGAGATTAGGGGTTACTGGGACACCAATGAGACAACTCCCATCTCGACAAGAGAAACCCTCGCTTTACTGCGAGTCTCAGAGGGTTTCCCTATCGAATGCTGTAACACCCGCCTGGACGTGTTTACTGACAGCCAARTCGTAATAGATAGCTGGGAAAGACAAGTTTCTAAATGCCATACCTCATCGGAAATCCTTAAAACGCATTTTCCAACTGTGCGCCTCAAAGAACGTAGCCATGTCCCTACAATTTGTGCCTTCCCAGGATAACCTCGCAGAGAAGCCATCACGGGAGCGGTCGGACCTGGACGTTGCCTTAACCCAGGACACGTGGAGACGCATAGAGCGGGCTTTCGGCCCCCACACTTTATATCTAATGGCACTCCCATCAAACGTCATGCACGGGAACTCGGGCCGCCCACTACGCTCCTTTTCTCCTATGCCCTGTAAAGAAGCGGAGGGCACGAACGTCTTCGCCCAATCGGTGTCAGCAGCCGAAAACCCCTACATCTTTCCGCCATTCGTGTTAATGGGACCGATTCCTCCTTGGACAAGGGTGTGCATTCACTATAGTCGTACCAGAACTTTACCCCAAGAGATACTGGTGGCCAATTCTAGAGAGAGCAGCGTCAGCAGCATTTTTGCTAGGTCATAGAAATGACCCTTCAGTACTTCTGTACCCCAGCAGATCGAAGCATTGTCCACGGGAAGCACGTCCCTTACCATATAACTTGTGGGTATTTAGAGTCCCATGCACGTATTTTAAGCTATAACATGTATCACAGTAGGTGCTCTAAGCCAATCAAACCTGTATAATAAACACCTATATAATGTACCACGTCTTGTTTTTCGTTTCGTTCTACTTTATTTTGTCCTTAGTTTCCCCCTTTATTTACCGCAGCCTCTCATCCAGACGCCACGAGTCTGGTGCCCTGCTTTTCATTGCCTGCAATGCTCCTACCCCAATAACATATCTTTTGCCTTTTKCCAACAATGTGGGTACAAGCGGAAGACCACTAGTACCATCGCCAAACCTCTAACAGTTCGTGTGGACCTCGACCAGATAGACGCGCGCCTCGCACAGCACGAAATAAATCTCCTTGCGGATCTTTACGCATGCGTAAAGATCCGTACAGATTGTGCCAATCTTTACGGAACCTTTACGCATTTTTACGTAATGCGTAAAGAATAAGTGATCCGTAAAGATTGCGTAAATATCCGTAATGATCCAGCGGGATATTTACGGAACATTTACAAATCTTTCCGAAATGCGTAAATAACAAGAGATCCGTCTAGAATGCATAAATATCCGTAATGATCCGTAAAGATCCTGTATCATCATTTATGAATCTTTCAGAAATACGTAAATAATGTGAGACCCGTGAAGTACTATTCTTAAACATTCGTAAAGATCTTGGTCACGTCCGCTCGTTATTGACACTACATCGCGTTATAAAACATTTTATTTGTACATTCATTCAGTACACATTAACCCATTGCACTGACATATATACTGCTAATAAAACTATTTACAATTAAAAAGTTACATCCAGTAGAGGAGTAACCCGACATTCTAAATATACTAAATAATAAAACTATTTACGATTAAAAAGTTACACCCAGTAGAGGTGTAATCCGACATTCTAAATATAGTAATAATAAAAACTATTTACAATTAAAAAGTTACCCGCAGTAGAACTGAAACCAGATATACTGAGATTTATGTTATTGTACTTAAGAGCGGCCGTCTGTAAATATCGACCGAGGCCGTGCAAGATCAAAAAATCAAAATCCTTCAAACTTTGTCATAACATAGGCATTGATGAACTATTACTATCGGTAATACTTTAAGGTTTGTCAGATTTTAATTTTAGACAAAACGGACGACTTTTGATTTCGGGCCAAGTTGACCAGTTTTCGGTCAACATAAACATAAACTCTCTTGGGTGACCAAGAAACCTACCTCTTTTCTCACTATTAAACTCATTCCATACATCCCCATCAATAACATCTGACAAATGCCCTTCCTTTCTAGTTAGCTGCCTCCATTTTTCGCAGTCTTCAGGAAACCCATCTCTGCATAGCATTTCCTCAAGTTTGTTGATAATACTATTGTAGCAATAGATTTTTAGAGGATAGAATTGCTCCTGATTGGTAGATCCAAGAGTGACTCGTTTAGAAAGAGGAGCACCACATGCCTTGAAAATTTCTTGTTTGTACAAAATTTCACAACCCTTTTTCCATACTGGTCTATTTCAATGCATTTATCCATTTCATAAAGCTTTGAACACTTCCTGCAAACAGCATATTTCTTAAAGGAATCACGGTCAAGACCTGCCAGTTTACGAAGTAAATAAATTGATGTGGGAAAGTCAGTAGCAAGTTGTTGAAAAGAATTACCACATATATTTGCAAGTGCCTTAAAAAACTGAGAATGAAATTGAAGAAACCATTCCAATCCATTATCACTTAATTTGCAAAATGACTGCCACAAAAGAATAAAATAAACAAACGATTTCAAAAGATTAGTTGCTTTTTGAACATTAGTGTCTTTGGACTGTGGTTCTGGACATGGATGGCTATCTGGATCACAACAGTTCAGATCAGATATCAGTTGTTCAGGAGACACATCTTCCCAAACTTCTGGTTGTTGATCTTCCACAACTGTATTACTTGTATCATCATCTTCACTATTGCCATTTTCATCACTGATATCCTTTAAAAATAAGGGTAAACCAACTTTAAAATTATGCTTATAATATGTACACCTAGATTCTTATCCTTAAAAAATATGATCACTCTCAGTGAAAGAAAAAGTTGTTTTGGGATTAACCTGAGCCAATTTGTATATTAGCTATGAAAACCCAGTAATAGAATAATTCAATTATCATATTATAACATCATATGGTAGAATGGCTTTTTGTTGAGTAGATTCACAATATGATCTTAATTTTCAGTACGGCAAAGGTTAATTCTTACCTCATTTGATGAATTATCAGTAGTCTGGTCTTCAACTGCCTCATTTCCTGCATTAGCTGTATTCAGAAACAAAATGTTTTTAAATTTCTGAATTTGAAAATAGGAATAAAATATAAAATAGAGATTACAAATATAAATGTAATTAATATGTGTCATCATGATTTGTTAAAACACATAGTTACATGTCTATAATATCTTTACTCTTATACATTTTAAATAACCTTATAATATGGCCAGGACAAATTGATTAGATTTTAAAGTTGAATTTTTCCTTTTTATCAATTTCAACAGATACATTTCTTAACAAATCGAGTATGCCTTTTTTAAATGCCTTTTTACATTCATCTGTAGAGTGTAACGTCACTGGATTTATTTTTAAGAGTATTTAGGTTCATTTTTGTAACTTACCGAAATGAAGACTTTCAATAGAGACCTTCTGACAATGATATGAATCTAACAATTCAAATTCTTGATTGCATATCTGTCTGTTGCCAGGATCTAAAAAATTATTGAAAAACATCAGCATGTTTCCTCAGTATCATAGAGACACTTAAAGAGCCACAATCACTTAGGACGATGCTCTATGATAGTGGCAGAGTTCATGAAACTGAATGCATTTAGAATATGGTGGAAAAATCGATTTATAATTATAATGGGATGATTTAAATGCATATTTCACATTGAGATTGTTATTTTAGTGTAAACATAAGCAAATTGTAAGTGACATGGGTTCTTTCAACAATATCCATCAAATAATCGAGTCAGATGCACACACCATGAGATCTGTGGTTGTATAGCGCATTGTCGGTATTCTATAGGGCACACAGATATTGATAAGATCAATAAAACTGTGTCAGGGAAACTACAATATGAAAGTTTTTCCTGACAAGAACCAGGTCTATTAGGATTTATTTTTATATATAACAAATTAATAAAAGGACCAAGGAAAATGAACACTTACCTAAATCCTGAATTTCATTAGTAAATTCCTGATATTGAGAATCTAGCAATTCTTGATTACGTGTCTGACTATTGGCAGAATCTATTAAAAAAGTATTGAGACACTCAGGCATCAGTATGTTTACGATGGTTGTCATAGAGACGCAAAACGCACGTGTGGTGCATGTTACTGCACAAGATAGACCAAAATCTAAATTCGAAGCGCTAAGTGCTTCAAATATTCCATCCATTCATACACCTATCATGTGTTTATATTAGAAACCGTAAATGGTCCATTAAAATTCCTACTTACCAAAATCTTCGTGACTTAATTCTGCAATCCCAACTTGAACATTCCGAGTTCTTTTAGGTATATTTTTGGAATACCTATGGCTTGTTTTATTTCTTCGATGTCTGTAATACGTGTTTCGAGATACATTTGCGTCGCAATGATCGCAATATATTGTAGTTTGAATGTCATACTTCGGCAAATTCCATGTAACATACGGAATCGAAGTGAAACTAGGATGCCGTAAGGCCGCTGATTAAATGAGCCTGACTTATTAATTATGCACACGTGTACTGTGCGTGACTGTCACGAACTACCAATCAAAACTTTACCAGGAACTCAACAAAAGATTTTTTGACCAATAAAAACTTGACAATTCTATTTGACTAATCACGAGAAGAATTATATGATTCAAAATGCTTGACGTTTATAAATCGTCTTCTTTTCATGCAAGAATATATCTCTGTTTACAAGTCTTCATATTAGCTTTATAAGTACTCGATAAACCATGTATGATAATGATAGCGATACCGAAATCTCAGCGATAGTTATGTCACACTACTAAGTGACACGGTTAAGGAAAGTCGCTCTTTCCGCGAAGAGGCAAAGGTTCGAGATGATGAAGCGAGGAAAATGCTAGCCAACCGCATCTCAAACCGCATGGATGATCTATGTCAGAAGATTGAACAGCAACAACAAGCAAGAGAAGCTTCAAACGAGAGAAGTACTTCTAAACAGAGACGTTCTAAACTTATTGTTCCAAACACATGTAGGGTAAGTAGCCTTTCGATTTGACTACTTGTATAAATGGGCCATAAACTAGAAGAGGTTTTTCAGTGTTGTAGAGCTATAGGTGTGAAAATGCGCGTTTCTTATACCGAATGGTATCACCTAAAGGCATTCTGCATTATTCAAAAAGTGTGTTATATTTACATTGCTTTTAATCGTCAAATATTTTTATCATTTTCGTTTATGAATTACTACAAATAGCCATGCGCCAGAACCACTTGAGGCCTTGTTTACTTTTTGGATTTTGAGTGAGCACATGGCAAAGTTTGGCTCAGTGCGCATTCTCAATTTTTGCTGCTTTTAAATACAACAACCGGACTTAGCATTACTATTACATCTTAGTATTACTGCAAATCTTTCGTTCTGATTGTCTACGGTACTGGGGTCTATTTTCAATAGTCCTCGACTAGCGAACAACTTTTTGCGTATTTTTGGGCAGTGTCTATAGATACTCCAATTATTATAACTTGCATTTTTATTGTTTTACTAGTTTTTATAGTATTTAGATATACTATGTTGTTGTTAAGCATAAAGCACATGTTTTAAAATTCAAAATAACATCAAATCATTATGTTTTACTAATGTATCTTAATCTTTGTTTAGACAAAGACTAGAGAACTGTACAACAAGCTTGTATCAAAAAACAAGATTGCAGGATTTAATGTTAATGAAAGGTATGAAAATATAAGTCATTGATAGTCCTATGC